AGGCAAAGCTAAGGAAATACAAACTGAATTTTGACCCATGAAATCACGTGTTGACCAGATTTTTGCTGTAAGGACAGTTGCTGAAGAGAGCTTTGAATGACGCAAGCTGCTCATTGCCGAACTGAAGTTTTAAGAAAGCCCTCTCTGTCTCCTAATTCACTCTGGAGCATCTTGATGTCGTGGCACGAGATGATGAATAGCATCAGTGCAGAAGGCACAGCTACGGTGAATGTAAACTCGAGCAGCTGGCGTCACGCAGATCCCAGTGTCAGATGTGAGACTGCATATTCTCTTTCCCCTCACTGCTTTGCTTTGCTGTTGGCTTCATTATGTGAAAAAGCATAGCTGATACAATGCACGAATTGTGTGGTTCAGCCATAGGAAAGCTAGGTTTTATTGAAGACACAATGTTTTTCAGTTCGTGTAAGGAGACATTGAAAGGCTGCCTGGCATTGAGGCAAAAAGACTGTGTTAATAATCAGTTTTGAAAAGAAAAAAAAAATCTAATAAGAATCACAGCTAAAGCTCTGTGTTAGAAAGGGAAGGAATACAGAGGTGAGTTGGTTCGTGTGCCTTAGAAATAACAAACACCGCAAGGGAACATACAGAAAGGAATAAGGAATTGGCAAGGCACCAGCCGTATTCACCCTATCCAGCAAGATGTGGCTATTGGAAAAACTGCGGCTTAAAGGTCAAACTCAGATCTTGAACTTCAAAGTTATTTCTGCCCTACCATGCAAGCGTGGCAGAAACACACTGGAGCTATAGGCAGGCATGTCAATGTTTACTAGGGTAAGAGCCTCAGGAAGAAGACCAAGGTATTAAATAGGTTTATATACCTTGGCTTTTTTGATGACACGATCAAAGTATAACTTCTTACCTCTAGTGTTAACCAGAAAAGAAGGTGAAAATACCGAAGACTTGGGATGAAAGTGGAACAAGAGAGCCTCTTGGAACAGCAGGGAGTGACAGTGCCTGGGGCTGAGGGGCATTGAGGACTCAGTAGCATGATCTGTCACTGCACCCCTGCTCTGCAGAGAGGGATGGCATCTCACCTCATTCCCATATTTCTATGGTTATAGCCCGCTGCGAATGGTTTTACATTCCTCTCCAAGGTCTAACTCAGCTTTACTCTTGGCAGTTGTCAATGTGTTCCTGAGGTTCCTGACCCCTGAGCAAGATCTCGCAGAAGTCGCTTTCCCCCTTCCCACCTAGTTCTCAGTTCATCTTATATGTGCAGGTTCATGTTCTTCCAGGTGGCTCCTGGTGCTTTGGTTTGAACAGGTTTAGATTTAGTTTACACTGATGCAGGTGTGATGCCGGCTTTGTCAGTACAGTCCCTGGATCCAGGATAAGTTTGGGATTTTGTTTTGGGGTTGTTGTGGTTTTTGGTTTGTTTTTTTTTTTTTAAGAGCATGTTAGGGCTGGGCCAGCTCCTTCACTCCAACCTGTGCCTGATGTCACAGTGGTAGAGAGGTTATTTCAAGGCATATTAAGCTACTAGATGAAAGAGGTAGGGGGAAAAGGTGGGCCAGAGAAAACACAATGTTTTCTCAAGTCTTTAGCCAGTTGTCCCTGGGGAGCTCCCTCAGGCTCGGGAGTGCAGGGGGGTGCTTGGTGGCCAGGTAGTCCCACAGTCTGGAGAACAGATTTCTCCTTCCTCCTTATTTCATAAATTGCAGTGACCCGGCATTTGGTCTAGCTGAGGACGTGGACTGTCCAGCCCAGTGCCTGAGTGCTGTCAGCTGCGTGTTGTGATGGAAGACAACAAATTAAAACCAGGTCCCCAAAGTCCAGAATGGATTTAGGTATCCAGTGCTGGGCTTAAGTCAGTTCCCAGCCTGAAGCCTGTGGAAGGGTGGGTCAGGACCCAAAATTAGTGTGTGCTACAGCAGATCACGTGTGGTATTTGCAGGATGGAGACTTCAAGAGGGTGTTCGTATACTTTTGATACCATTTTTTTAAATTATTATTATTTTTACTTGAGCCCAAACTGTTCAAGCTGGGGATGGACATCTATGGGATTGCTGGTGAGGAGGTGTGCAGCAGCTGGCCTGGGGTGCGCTGCTGTTGGCAGCCTTCTTCCCCAGCGCTACGGCATGTCAACCTAGCGGCAGTGGCTGGGAAATGTCTAGCTCTGCAGTGCATGCAGCTACCCTAAAAATGGTAGGCTGAATTTAACTCCATGCAGCCGAGCCCTGGGGCAGTATGTTCTGGGAAGCGCCTCTGGAGCCACCACCCCTTTGCCATGCCACCTCACTGACCCGCGCTTTCCGAAGAGGGACAGTCTCTGAGGAAGATGGTAGGGATTTAGGCACAGTCCCCAAATAATGTTTTGCATTTTTCTCTCTGGAGTGCAGCCTAGGGTAGGATGGTGCCCGGTTTCTGGAGGAGGGAAGCATCCGAGCCATGTGTAGGTCTGAAAGGAAGAGGAGGGAGATAGCTTGCAGCTCCAGAGCCCTGCTGCAAGCAGGCATCTCCTGACACTGTACAAGGCAACCACTGCAGATATGGAATTCCAGCTGTCTGGTTTAGAGGTTGCTATGGAAGGATGAATACTTTGGATCACTTTAGGTCCTTGCAATCTCAACGAGTTGACATGTAGTCTTTTCTGAGGTCAGGTATCATTAACAAGTATTTTCTCTTTTTCTTCTGTCACGGAATGGACAGGAGTCCACTTCATCAGGTAGTATCGCTTCACTTCAGAAGTTACTCGTCCCTCCCACCTTTCCCATCTTCTTCAGCTTGAATGTCCTTGTGTGGATCACCTCCCCTGGCCCCAGCTTCCTCCCCTGCCCCCTGCATACTAGCACTGCTGGGCATTGGCCTGCTCTCCCCTTTCTGGTCTCTCCTCCTGAAGGACAGCAGAAGCAGAAGGCTTGATTCCTGCTTGCTGCCTCTTTATGGTCACAGTCTTGCTGCATTTGCTTTCCACGCTCTTTCTCAAGTCCTGTTGGTCACCGCTGCCGTCTTCTGAGCAAACTGCCAAGGGACATCTCGTGCTGACACCTGGACCTCTTTGGTGGCCGATTAGAGCACATGACAGCTCACAGCATATTGCAGCCTGTAGATGCTCTCTGATGCAAATCCCCTTCTCTGTCACGCCGGTGTGGCTTGCGCAGCCCCCGTGCTGGGAGCTGTGGAGCTTGCATTAGCCTCTCTACCCTTGAATAACCTGTATGATTTGCTTTCCTTCCCTTCCGCTGCTCATCTCCTGTTCCTTCACGTCAACAAATATACCAAATAATCTCCTGGGTAAAGAGAGGTGCCAGCGCCAAGAAATCCTTAACTTCTGTGCTTGTTGTGATTAACCCTGTTCAACCTGTTCCGCTGACCTTGCTTTATCAGGGGGGTTGGACCAGACGATCTCCAGAGGTCCCTCCCCACCTCAACTGTTCTGTGACTCTGATCCAACCGTCCTGTCTCACATGCAGTTTTACTGAAGTTTTCAGCCTGGTACCGACATAGATTTGTCACCCCAGGATGGCAAGTGCTGAGCAACTGTGTCAGCCAGCTTGACAATGTGTGTGTGCCTCCACTTAGCACAGCTGTACTGCCTGGACCAAAAGTCTGGATCTCCTGTTACCCGGTCTCTCAGAAGCTGAGAGTAGATGCTTTGGAAAGAACAGGGCAAGTGCATGTTATCCCTCACTTAATGCACCTCCTTGCTCTGGCAGTCGGTGCTATCAGAGCTTCTGGGAGTTTGTGCAGACTGATGTGACTGATGGTCCTTCGTGGACCCCTCTTCCATGAGTTTGCCTAACTGCTTGGTGAATCCTGCCTGGCAACTGGCTCTAGTGGTTGCGGGAAGCTGCTCAGTGAGATTTTTGGGTCCACTCTTTTAGTCTGTTTCTCCCTCCTGACATCACTGGTCCCTCTCCTCGCTGTGTGAGGGCAGGATGGGGTGGATGCCTGAAGGCTCCTGTAGTGTACTGGGACCGGTCCAGCTGGGCAGAGCAAGGAGAGCGGTGCACAAGCACTGGGACATGTGGTTGAGTTGAGGGGGTGGAAAAACGGTTGCTGTGTGGACAGAAGTTGACTCTGCATGTTGTAACTGGGTCACTTGTGAGTGTCCCAGGCCAGTTACACAAGCCGGGATGTACTTGTGCTGTAGCCAACAACCACCTGCTCTCTTTGCTTTTTGGCTGATATAAGAGCCCTAACTCTATGGGGTTCCCATTTCAGGTAGAGTTTTATTTCTTCATCTCTTAGCTGCTCGTTCTTCATGTTTCCTGGTAACTCCCTTTCTTCTGCCTGTAAGTGACTTGCCAAAGCTTGTCCCGATCCTATTCTCACTTGCACTGCAATTTTGCTTTCTTTCCTGGTAGAAGAAGCCTTTTTCACCTTGCTCCACTTCACCTCTTCTCCAGCCTTCGATTCCTTTTGTCTGTGCTGGGAGATGTTTGTTCAGTGGCAGGTTTTTCCCTCCTGCTTTTATCTCTGGTCACCAGGTACTGTGTCCCAGCCCTGATCAGTGGACTGAGCCTGCCCAGAAGAAATCCAGCCTAAGGCATGTTATGGTCCTCTCTGAGTCTTCTTCTTGTCCTAATAAGCTACGCATTAATCAAAACTCAGTTAAGAGTAAACCTTGATCTTCTGCACTCCTGAGAATGGTGTGCCAAAACCAATAGTCCATGGGACCACATCACTGTCATTGCGGCCAGCTCCTGTTCTTCTGGTGCTTTGCCTCTCGGGGCTCTTCCCTTCCTGATCTACGCACCGGTACTGTACCCTTCCTAACAGGATTCATATATTTTGGTTTCTTTCACCGAAGTTCTGCTTAGTCCTTGCCTTCCCCATCCCTGGGGAAGA